GAATGAGTTGACAGAGTGGGATCTACAGGTCTTGATTTTACAGAACGCACTTATTTCCACTTAATCGATCACTTGGTACTCACTGCACTATGGAGATGTTCGGGGTACTTGGTTCTAACTACAGGAGCGAACATAAACACCTGTAGATTTCTGTAGGTTCTTATTAACGTAAATATACAAGGTGTGCTTACAAGTGCGGGTAGTCCTTACACTCCTATATGGGTCAACTGACCTCTCAGGCGACATGTGGTAAGTGGTACATTAGCAGCTTCCAGATGTCGCCAGGCACATTTATCTAAGCATGTGGTGACATGAAACAGGGGCATTGCCACATGCTACTGACTAGAGAAGTAATGTATATATATATATATATATATATATAGAGAGAGAGAGAGAGAGAGAGAGAGTGAGAGAGAGAGAGAGAGTACATCCATGGTATACATACAACATACATAATATACATACACTTATTGTTTATTTTAGCATTTTTTTGTTTAGAGCTTTTATTGGGCTACTTGTGTCAAACACACGAATAACTGACTTCAGTTGCTTTCGAATTGTTGGACTAAATTAAATGTTTACCAAAGGGGAGAAAGTTGGGATACCTCGAAGATTCAAATATTTGGAATTCGGATAAAATGAGTTGCACTGTAAATTAAAGTCTGATATTGGATTTACCATAATAGTGGAGACGTTCTGCATACAGTGGCTGGAAGGTTGTTAGGTGTTAGTGGGATAGTACCACAGGAACCATATTTTACCAGGGAGTGCTGAATATTAATTTTGGTGTCCTAGATACACCGTGGTGCAATCTATAGTACTTTATACCCAAAATATTGGGGTGCTATAGCACTCTTCCTTACCACGCCCATGTACTGGTAGGAGTGAGCCAGAGCACATCCAACCACAATAGTAGCAAGCACCAGACTGACCAAGTGATTCAAGTGAGGAGCGCAGGGTGGCGACCGGCGAGGCCGAGAGGGTTACCCTTGCGGCCAAATATGCCGAGATTTTCCCATATAATTTTATATAACTCGGCATTTCCAGAGTTATTTTATAATAAATTCCGAGATCACATACGTGCCGAATTCTACGAAATTCCGAGATAACGAATGCCGAGTTATTATTATTAATATTATATATATATATATATATAAATATATATATATAAATATATATATATATAAATATATATATATATATATATACATATATATATAAATATATATATATATATATATATATATATATATATATATATATATATATATATATATATATATATATATATATATATATATATATATATATATATAGCCATCTCTCGAATTACATGTTAGTTACGTTCTCGAGAGGGCGTGTAAATAGAAAAAGCGTGTAAATCAAACTTAATTATCCCATTTCTCTTCGCCGCAATGTTGCTTCACTCTCTCTTTTACAGGTACTTTAACTGGCAATGTTCGGTATACCGCCGGCAAGGCCGTGGGTTCGTAACACACGTCTTGCCCGCGGTGCCAACGTTTCGCTGTGGTTGTCGGTCACACGAGAATTACCAGTTATAGTACCTCCTTCTTTCCTCACACAGCCAAACTGTGGAATGCTCTGCCTTCTTCTGTATTTCCATGCTTTTACAATCTGTCTCATTTTAAAAATCTGGTTTTCCGACATCTTCGTGGTGTAGATTAATACAGTATAACCTTTTTTCTCTACATTTACAATTTCTTTCCGTTCTTTTTTTTTCTCGCTCCCCAGGCTCCGTTGTGGGTCGTTTGACCTGTGCCCGGGTGGGCTAATTCCCGTAAAAAAAAAATCGAAATAAAGGAAATGACGGGGATTAGGGGAAGCGCTCCTTAAAAAAATTTATTTGTTTATCTATTTCCTTTAATGTGTTTTATTTACAATGATATAATAGCAATAATAATACAACAATAATAATACAATAATGGAAGCAAACCAAATAATACAGTAGTAAGAAAATGGATTTTAAATGAAAACTTGTGATAACACTTACGTTGAATGATGTGTGAGATGGCGTGCGGATACTTGTGTTGGTGGAGGAGAGGTGGGGGGTGACTGGGGGATGGAGTCATCTAAATCAGATGACAGAGCAGGCAAAGGGGAGGAGAAATGGGAGCTTTTGAGGTGCCAGATGTCGATGGCTGAGGTTCAGGTGATGTTACTTAGTAGGAAAACAATTAGGTACTGAAATGCGCTGCCTGGCGCAATGGCACTTTTCAAAACCATGCTATTTAAAAAAAAACTTCCTGTTATTTTGTAAATGGGTTTTTATGTTTTGTAAATATTCCACTCGCCCTGAATGATGCAATGGTTGCTATCCTTGATTTTGAGCTCGCGATGGTAAAAAGAGTTTGTTATGCAGTAAGCTGTGATTTCAGTTCATGAACTTTCCTCTTTCGTAGCTAGCTTTTGGGTGGTAAATCATTAACATAATTCTTGTGAAAACTTTTGAAATACCTTTCATGATTTCCTTTCTTAGCTAGAGCTGGATCAGACACACACACACATCGTGAAAATGGTAAATTTTGGTCTTTTAGTACTTGGTTCAGAACTCATTTTTGGTTCAGTTGATGGCCAATAACCTGTATTTGGAAAAGAAAAAGTCGTATGTGAATACGAGAATTACTTTTTTCCATGACTTTTCCTTCGTGGATATGAAAATTACTAACCGTAACAGCGTAATGTTTTTAACTTCCTCTTCTTTTTTTTCATACGCAATTGTCGCCGGCTAGTGTGGACACTTCTGTCTACTCTAGGGTTACGAGGAGAACTGTTGCTAAGCTAAAAAGTAAGAAATTCTTGTAATCACCCAAGACTTTTCCATAACAAGAGACAGCACCTCACACTTCCAAGTATTGCAGATGACTGAAAATCACTGTATTGCTAGTGACACGTGTGTAGGCTCGTAGAGACAGGGTTGCCAAATATGATTCTCTCTCTTTACATTTGACAAAACTCCTCAATATTGAGTCGACTTTTTCGTTGTCAAATTCATTAATAGAAGGTTTAACGTGTATTTGTAAACTTATAAACGCAAACACTTGCTTAGTTTTAGCCTACAATTTATGACAACTTGCTGATCAGTTTCCTCACCAGGAACCAGCCAGCACCGGCCCGTACGAACACAAACACTTCCTATCAGGTTCCGCCACATACAGCATGGCACAGTCGAAGTTTTCCCGTATGTATCGTTCTGATGTGTCCATAGTGATAATCTACTCCCAGAAAAAAATCTAAACAAAAGTAATATCCCAATAATTATGAGTAAAATTTTAATAGGATTTTTGTATGGCAGCTTATGAAGGGTGGATCATTAAGTTTAAGGAGTAGCATTTTATTATATATACACTAGCCTCTCCTGTCAGGGATCAATTTTCCCTCTAAAAATCACCTTATCCGGTATCCCTATTTATTATATAGTTTCAGTGCAACCTAATAGGCCTACAATTTAGATTATATATAAACTTAATCTAATTTTACCCTTTCCTATCAGCGAATCTGACCTTCTCAGTGAAGAAAAATATCCCAATGTCAGAAATTGGATGTAAGGGGGTGCCCAATAAACTAGCCCCCTCGGGGGCAAATCTGAAATCTGAATGTCAGAAATGTGCCATGTAAGTCACGGACTCTTCCACGTTGAACACCCAGCCAGACGACCAGAGAGGTAGAATCAGCTGCTGATCTGGTAACAGTGTGTGTGTGTGTGTGTGTGTGTGTGCGCGGGGGGGGGAGGGATCGGGGAGGGCAAGGGGAAAAGATGGGGAGTACTTGAGTTCCGTGTTGCATAATATAATCATATATTATTTCGCACACAAGAGTGATTGAAGTGGAAGAGGTGATTATGGTACAGGAATACGTTTTTTTTTTCATTTTTTTACAGGGAATAGCCCACCCGGGCACAGGTCATCGACCCACAACGGGTCCTAGGGGGCGAAAAAATAGAAGTAAAAAGAAATTAAAAATGGGAAAGAAAAGATTATATTAATCTACACCACGAAGATGCCGGAAAACCAGCTTTTTGAAGTGAGACAGGTTGTATGAGTATTGAAACACAGAAGAAGGAAGAGCATTCCACAGTTTGGCTGTGTGAGGAAAGAAGGATGTACTATAACGGGTTATTCTAGTGTGACCAACATCCACAGCGAAACGGTGGGCACCGTGAGCAAGACGGTACACAGGATACCAAATCCACCGAACATTGCCCGTTAAAGAACCTGTAAATGAGAGAGAGTGAAGCAACATTGCGGCGAAGAGAAAGGGAAGAAAGATTAACAACTAAAGGAGGAGAGTTTGTAAGATGAAATTGCCTTTGATTCCACCCTATCTAACAGTTGAACAGAAGAAGAGCCACCCCCAGATATGAGAGCAGTACTCCAATTATTGATGTCGACCAATTCCTTAGTTAAAATTATTTAACGAATCCTACATATAACTTTAAGCTGATACATATTTTTAGGTGATTCAACTGCTCTTATATGCACATTATAATTCATGAAACCATTAATAGCGTATAATTGAACCATATGCTCTCGTAAGTCACGTTTCGACCTAGCCTCGCACGGGGTAAACAAAAATTACCTCTTTACTTTTATCGTTTTAATATGTTTTAATATGGTAATTCTAGTGGTATGGCGCTACTAAAGATACTGAAAAGTAGTTGCTAATGACGTGTAGGTGCGTAATACTATCCCTTATAATATTAGGAAGTTACCTTGTGGCCCTGGGCCATCTGTAGCACACACACACCTTATCCTTTATTTTCACAAGTAATTAAATTAATAATAACATATGACTTAAAAAAAAAAGTGCTTAAAGATATAAATGCATCCGCTCCTGAATGGAATACAATACAAAATAGTGAAAACAATTTTAATTTGCTTGTTGATCACGTAACAAGTGTCGACAGCCAATCAAAACTCATCCGAGGTATTGTCGCGACCCTAGAAATCATAGAATTCAACAGAAAGCTCTTAGACTTCAAGATGAACCGTCATGACACCCAGTTAGCTTTGAGAAGTCGCATTGTGGGCCTACGAGAAGCTGGACTCTCCACCCGAGCCATATCCCGTGCAATAGCTTACAAAGTCTCAAAAGTCACCGTAAGTTAGGAAGGAAAGTCAGCCATTTTAAATCGAGTTGTGGACTTCGTAAGTCTTACGTGAATCACCACCGCAGGAGTTTATGAACTTTTAAGCACTTAAGATGTTCGTAACCCGTTAGTGAATTTGGGCCACGGTTCGTAACTTAGCTGAGGTCCTCGTACGAACTCTAGTATTAGTTTGTAAAATGCCGACAGGTGGCGGTGGTGTGTTTACGTCTATTTTCCTCTCGGCCAATCACTGCGACTGATACATGACAGAGTAGGAGACGTAAGCCAATCATGTCACAACAACAGAAGACAGCGCCGGATGCGTGTGACGTGTCTCTTTTGACAACATTTATAGAAGAAATAGATCATGGAGTTTTTAATAATAATATTAATAAAATAATAATAATAATAATAATAATAATAATAATAAATTATTGTCTTAAACTAATAACATCAACTACACTCTGGGAGTGGGAATTACCATTAGCGAGAAACCTCAAAGCTATTAACACAAACGTACGCGTTGGGAACCTTGGGATCACATTAGACGACGTTGTCACTCGACCAATATGTAGCCAAAATATATCCCTGCATGAAAATCTGTAGTGCTGTAGCAGTTGGTGGTCATCAATTTGTAGCGGGTTCAAATGATCCCTTAACACCCTTTCCTTACAGAGTACACGGTCATGACCTACAGCAATCATTGATAATCCTGGAGGAGATGACTAACACCAGAAGGCGGTGTTCAATTTCTTTCATTTTTTCCGCAGATGTTTTTATCATTAGAGCAAGTATTTTAAAAGAGGCGACATTTCCTAAATTTGAGCCTACAAAACCTACTAACGTTCTCAGCCTAACATATTAAACAGAAAGGATTTATTTTGTTTAACTAAGATTACCAATGACAACTTTTGGTGACGTCAAGTATATTTTCGGTTTTTGGATGTGGGATATCATAGGACTAAACAAGTTGGTTTAACAAACTTATTTTTTTAGGAATAATTTTCGTACACTACAGATGATTTATGATCATAGATAAACTAAAAAAATACTATAAATTTAAAAGTTGAAATATTTTATAATGAAAAAACAGAATCAGACATGTCTCTCTCTTGTATCAATTCCATTTCACTCTCTAGAAGAGTTGTTTACTTCTTGCGTTTGCCTTACTTGCCAATCCTCTCTGGTTGTGAGCCGAAATCAGTGTGATTCTAACCATTTAAGGGAGAAAGGGTGCGTCAGATAGGCGACTTTTCCTGGGCAGGAGACGGGATGATAGTTTAGGCAATGCTGACAAAAAAATGTATATCAGTTGAGAGATTTTACAACGCAGAATAACGCTTTGACAATACTGACAGGGTTTCCTCAGCTGAGAATAACCGTCTAGCACTACCGAGATGAATATGCTAAAATTACAATAGGATGAAAAGGGATGAATTCGTGTTTTAAATAAGGTATTACTTTGTAAAAGGCGGGCATTTATAAGCATAAATATGTGGATTATGGATATGTTTGAATCTATATCTTGTGGAAGCAGCGAAGTTTTATTTATCCCCTTGGCTACGAAATGAAACTATCGCAGCTGAATAAAATCGTCAGGCGGTATCCAGACTAAAGTAGATATGAAGACATAGTAATGAAGGGCACCATATGTTAAATGTAATGAAAACGATGTGAACAGAAAAAGTCGAGTTAGTCTCTGTTCAGTATAGAATTAACAAACCCCATAGTTCAGTTGTGCTAAACTGTGAGGTTAAATGGGTAAAAAAAAGACATTAAAATTATCACCTAATGTACAATTTATGGTGCAACGTGATATAAACTTTGTTTATAGATCGTAAATAATGAAGTTAATTGCGCTTATGTAGTGCACGGAAGGGAACCTTCGACTCCTCTCCCTCCACCCTGCCTCCACCACACAACTTCTACTCTGGGTTGCTGGTAGTCGAATCACTGCAGACTATTTACAGAGTAGAATAATGAATGTTGTCCTCTAATTTCTATGAGGCAATTATGATGAGAATACAAATACAAATGACACCCAGTATTTCAAGCAACGGTCATGTTTGAGGACAGATGGTTCGACACAGCACTGACCCACATTGTGTTCACAGAAGAGGGTATTAGATATAAAGTCAAAGCTAAAGGCCCATAAGAGTCCCGGCCCTGGCATGGCGCATCCCAGAGTGCTATGAGAGTTGTGCAACGAGCTTGCAGAGCCCCTTAAGAACCTGTTCTGTAAATGCCTGGATGAACAAAAAGTCCCCAGTGATTGGAAAATAGCTCATGCGAGTCCTATCTTCAAGAAGGGCGATCGTCACTCCACGAACAACTCCAGACCGGTGAGCCTGACCAGCATAATATGTAAAGTACTTGAGAGTATTATCAGAGATGCCGGGATGGAACATCTACTACGAAACAACTTTGTAAAGGATTGCCAGCACGGTTTTATGCCGGGGCGCTCCTCCTTAACACAATTACTCAAGGTATTGGATATTTGGACCCATATTCTGGAACGGGGTGGTAATATCGACAATATATACATATATTTTGCCAAGGCTTTCGACAGTGTACCCCACGAAAGGCTGAAAATCAAACTGGAAGGGTACGGAATTCAGGGAAATGTCCTAGCGTGGATAGAAGACATTTTACATGACCGCAGGAAGTGTGTGGTGGTTAATGGCACAAAATCATCAACTGTACCTGTCACAAGCGGGGTCCCACAGGGCAGTGAATTGGGCCCACTGTTATTTGTTTGTTTCATAAATGACATGACTGACGTTGCACACTCCTCCATACAAATGTTTGCCGATGACGCCAAGTTATTTCGAGAAATCAAAAACCATATGCGGACTGTGAAGAGCTGCAGAAAGTTCTCTGTGAGCTCTAAAGATGGTCGAAGAAATGGCTGCTGAGATTCAATGTCACGAAATGTACTGTAAGAGGATGCACCTGGGGCGTACCAACGGTAAGGAGGCTTGTCATATGTCCCAACGGGATGAAGAAACTGCACTATTTGAGACTGAATGTGAGAAGGACCTAGGTGTGTATGTTGACAATGAGCTGAAGTTCTAGGGCCATTGTGAGAAGAAGGTAAATCAGACAAATAAATTATTGGGTCTTATAACGATCTTCAGGAGTGAAGTGCTTCCCCATCTGGAGTACTGTCACCCCATCTGGTCCCCGAGATATGCGAGGGGAGTTGGTTGAAAATGTTCAAAGAAGGGCCTGCACTTCGGCACCTCAACTACCCTGAAAGATTGGAGCGCCTGAACTTGCCTAGCTTATACTGCAGACGGGCAAGGGGCAACTTAATTGAGGTGTATAAGCATCTCAAGGGGCACTACTCAGTCGAGTGCCCTTACTTGGAGCTGGCGGACACTAGCCCTACAAGAGGTCACAGCTCAAGATTGAAGATGCCGCAGGTCCAGAAAACTGTGAGGGCAAACTTTTTCGGAGTGAGAGTTGTGAACTCTTGGAACAATCCGCCAGAAAGCGTTGTGACGGCACCGAGTGTGAGTTCTTTTAAGACTTGACCAACACTGGAACAGGTTCAGGTACATTCAGGAGCCGGTGCATGCCCAGTACTTGCCAACAGTGAGTAACAGAGACGTGACCGATCGCTCAAGCGGCTAACGAGCCGATCAGTATTGAAGAGGATAAAAGTAAAAAAAGTCAAAGTATGAAAGTATGACATAAAATCATATTTTTCGGATAATCCATTATCTGGTTACTGTATATGGCATAGGCAGACACGCCAGAATGAATTTTATTCGGACATTTGGGCCACATACGTTTGGGCCATGAACTGTATGGACCAAAAATTTCTTGACTATAAATTATAATCACCTTAATACCTCTCAGAACCTTCCAGTCAGGAGCATTCAAGTTAGGTTAGGTTATTATTTATATTACTTTGACCCATGGCCCACCCGTCTGGGGGTAGTGGCTCATACGTCCTACATTCACCAGAATATAGAGATAGTCGAACAGTAGCATAGAGTATAACAAATATAACGCTAAGAATATGTGGAAAAGGATTCTAACTAACACCTAATAATGTGAACGAGCAGCCCAAACTAATACCTCCCATACCTTGGTTGCTTGAAATACTGGGTATCACTTGTATAATATTGTATTATCAACATAATTTCCTCATGGAAATGAGAGGTCACATCATTATTCTACTCTGTAAATTGTCTGGAATGATTCGACTACCAGAGTCAGAGTTGAATGGTGGAAATAGGAAGGATGGGGGGAAAAAGAAGGGGAATGCTGTAGAGGGTTCTTCCAGCAACTCAGTCCGAGGCTGACGTCACATCCAGTGCACTACATAGAGACTTTATTATTTATCACATTTAAGCAACAGTAATATCGCTTTGCATAATAAATTACACATCACAATTATAATAATAATAATAAAATATAAGAATAATAGTAATATTAAAATATAATAATAATAATAATAATAATTATTATTATTATATATTTTTCTTTACTTTTAACCTCACAGACACAATTTAACTATATGGTTTGCTGATTCTACACCGGACAGCTGCCAACTGAACTATTTTTGTTCACATCAAATTTGTATTTAAAAAAAAATATGAGGTGCCCATTTCTTGAGTGATTTGATTGTGAATTAATCCCTTTACTACGATCGATGTTTTGTAACAAATTTTATTCTGGTTACCGCCAGATGATTTTATTCGGCTGGGAATTTCCATTTCGAAGTCAAGAAGTTAAACAAAATTTCACTGCTTCTACGGGATATAGATTCAAACATATTCATAATGCATTTGCTCATAAATACCCTCTTTTACAAAGGAACACCTTATTTATAACATGAATTCGTACCCCCCTCATCCTATTGTAACTTTATTATTTTCATCTGACCAGCGCTAGACGATTACACTCAGCTGAGGAAACCCTGTCGGTATTGTCAAATCATTATTCTGCATTGTAATCTCTCCCAACAGAGATACTGTATAGTTTTCCTCACCCCCAGTACCCCTGTTCCTCAACACCCCCCCGCCCGACACACACACAAACAGAAAGACACCTATCTCGACACACCCCTTTCCTCTCCCTCCTGCTCACTGGGCGAAAAGAGCCCCCACCCCTCGGTCTTCTTACGTCACACTTCGCCCCACTGACACAGTAGCTAGCATGTTGGAGCCAATGGCGATATATTTTACATCCTGCATTAAAACTGAAACCATGCATGAAATGCTTGCATTGAGAGATTGAGGTCGAAAGCTGATTTAGCATTCTTAATCATGCTACTATTATATGGTTCCTTTGGGCCATGTATATATACTATATATATATATATATATATATATATATATATATATATATATATATATATATATATATATATATATATATATATATATATATATATATATATATATATATATATATATATATATTTATATATATTTATACATATATATATATATATAGTATATATATATTTGTATATATAAAATATATTTATATATATATTTATATATATATGTATATTTATATATATATATATATATATATATATTTATGTATATAAAATATATATAAATATATATATATATACAGGTTGACAATCCTTTATCCGAAATCCTTGGGACCAGAGGCATTTCGGTTTTCGGAATTTTTCGGTTTTCAGAATGGTTAGGTTTTTTTTTTTTTATGTGTATTAGCCCACCCGAGCATAGATCACTGACCCACATTGGGGCCTGGGGGTCTAAAATATAATAAAAATTATAATAATAATAATAATTCATAGGTCTAGGTCGTGTTTCTCACTTTTGATCTTTTTTTCATTCTTGTATTTCTTTACTGTATTATTATTTTATTATTACAGTATTATTGTTATTATTATTATTATTATTTTATTATTATATTTTATTATTATTATTATTATTATTATTATATTTTATTTTGGTGTATATTATTAAAAAATTTTATTTACTATGAATAATTATTATTATAATTATTATTACTATTACATTTTTGCCCCCCAGGCCCCGATGTGGGTCAGTGATTGTGCCTGGCTGCTAATAAACCCTGTTAAAAAAAAAAAAAAAAAAGCCCCACAAAAACTTTCGGTTTTAGAGCTTTTTCGAATTTCGGATAGGGTTGTCAATTATATATATATATATATATATATATATATATATATATATATATATATATATATATATATATTTATATATATTATTTATACATATAAAATATATATATATATATATATATATATATATATATATATATATATATATATATATATATATATATATATATATATATATATATATATATATATATATATATATATATATATATATATATATATATATATATATATATATATATATATATATATATATATGCCAAATTATCATTTACATTTTTCTTTCAGGCAAGCAGTTTGAAATGACTGACCCACGCCTATTGGAATTTGAAAACTTGACTCGCGAGTTGGTGGAGAGCATGGCTCTTCTGGCCATCCCAGACATATTCCCGTGGATAATGTACATCCTGCCTGGCGCTCTCACAGGACGCATCTTCCACCTCGACTTACAGAAGAAGATCAGACATAAATTCCTTATTTATTTCAATGTGAGTGCTCTGTTATTTACTGAACAGGCTGGTACTCACTCCCTCACATACACATAGAGAATTACTTCTGCCTCGTAAACTCACTCTAATGATAAGCTTTTTAATTATACGAATTACTTTTCATAATTCAATATATTGGTTATATTTCTTTAAGAAAATGTAAGATAAAAATTTGTTAAATAAAAGCTATCTTGACTGAATGACTGACTGAAAATCTAAGAAAACTCATGTTTGTGCAACACTGCCTGGCACACTGTTCCTTTAGCATTTTTTTTTATGCACCAGTGATATTTTCAGCTTTGGCTGTCACAAAAGAGAAACATTCATCGATCGGTCCGTCACATTAAAGTTTTCATGCTAAAGTTCGTGTCATGAAAGAAGTGAGTATCTTGTTTACTTTACCGCAGAAGGAAATCGAGGAGCACCGAGCCACTCTGGACCGTGATGACCCCCGGGACCTGATAGATGGTTACCTGATAATGATGGAGAAGAAGGCGGATGACCCGGACAATACCTTCAGTGGTGAGTGTCCTCCAAGACCTTCTTCATGTTCACACTCTTTTTATGAATTCCTGTTCAACCTCCATCGGGTTCAGGCTTACGTTTTCCAGTATTCGCTATTGAGATCTTTATTTCAACAGCCATCAGGTTGTGGCCTGAGTCTTCAGGCTCACTGGTTTCACTGTTGAAACAGAATATGATGCCTGGTTTCATCTAAGCGTTTTTCTTATTTTCCTTGGCTTAAGGCAGTTCACTGTAACACCTCCAATACAGTATGTTGTTTCGTGTAACAGCTGGAAATCCCTATTGACCTCGAATGAATCTCATTTTCTTTAACTTTTCGTCCATGTCTGCCTCAACAAACTTGACCTGCAGCGCATGTTTATAGATGGGGATAATTATGACCAACGCCTTTACCTAGATGTTATTTTCTACGTAGTTGTTGATGTCTGTTTTGTTTTGTCTTGTTACAGAATGTCCAGTCTCTTAGCATGATTACCGAGTAGGAGATACGGGATTATCTGTAGCCATGTCCAGGTACTGACCTCAGGACAACGTACTTCTATTGTTATTTTTTATTAATGCGTTTAAATACGAGATCTTAATGCCTCTCATCAGCGGCATTAGATTCATTTTTTATTATTTCTGAATTTAAGTTATTGCTGCATTTTAGTACTTTTTAGAATTACCATATTCGTACAGTTTTCCTTCCTAACAATTCGTTACGAGAGGATTTTTTTGTCACAAGTTTTTCAAGGTCATGGTATACAAGTCTAAGGATGGCATAGAATGTGCCATTAAATACAAAAATTAGTTCTACTAAGACTTGGAAGATATATTTTGCAATAGCTATCAGCTAGAAAAAATTCAAAGAAGTTTTATTGTTGGCTGTGAGGGAGGAAGAGGGAGAGACACTGGCTCAACACTGAAGTTTCATTTCTGGTTTGAAATGCATGAACATCTAATTCCTGATTTGACTTGAGTCTTAAATTAACCAATTTTTAAATTTTATAATAGTAAAAATAAACGAATAACGTCACCGGGAAATACATATACATTACACGGTGTACTTTTGATTCTTACTTTGAGAATGCAGGGCAAAATGATATCAGGAGTGGGTGAATTGTCGTAGTCGAAGTTGAAGGACTCAAGGAACTTTGGTACAAATTGTTCCTGAAGACATTACATTGTGGATTCTGGATCTGGGTCGCTTGCGTTGAAAATAGATGTTCCAGGATTGTTTACTGAGAACCCGGTTCGATTTAATTAAAATCAGTAGAAAACAAAATTATCCCTTTCTGTCAAGGTGACGAAGATCCAGAATTATCACAAAATTACCTTTTTCCTGTATTTTCTTCATATTTTGGCCAATTTAGACAAGATAACTGAAGCGCACAACAACCTACTCGCCATTGTTTTATTTCTTGTAATTTTTTTCCAATTATTAAAATTTACTTCAAATCTCTCTTGCATAAGTCATAAGGATTCTCAAGTGTACTTTTTTTCAAAACTCTAGTGAAGGATTTGGCAATCTTAGTCCTCGACCTGTTCCTCGCTGGGAGTGAGACCACGGCCGACACCCTCACCTGGATGTTCTACTACCTGGCCACATACCCGGAGGTGCAGCAGAAGATGCAGGCAGAGATAAATGAGGTCCTCCCTAAGGGCACCCTGGCAACCCTCGACGACAAGCTCAGGTTATGCCTCATCCTCCTCCTTGTTATATCTCCTACTATGAATGGTTCATACTGTCGTTTAGTCTAATCTTCATCTTTTAAGAGTTTTAAGTCACCATTTCTTCTTTCTTTTCACTCTCGTTCGTTATATATTCCTGAAGCATAATTGACCATTCGTTGGTTTTCAAGGACAATTGTGGTGGAACTTTGGTGTAGGTTTCTTGGTCTGTATTTTCTTTAACTGTGATATATATATATATATATATATATATATATATATATATATATATATATATATATATATATATATATATATATATATATATATATATATATATATATATAGATATATTGATAAAATCACACGGGAAAAGGGAAACAACGGAGCACCTTAGCTTTCGTCTTTATTCAAGACATCTTCAGAGGCAACTGGATTACATGTTGTTGTTGTTGTTGAGATTGTCGGACCGTAGTCCGACACGGGCCTTTGCCTCTAGGCGGCCCGTTTGGTGGTTCAGGCTGGAGCTCCAGGAGCAGCCAGACCGGATTGGGATTGGAGGTGGTCCCACCTGCAGATTGGAGGGATACTGCAGGTTGCAAGTGTGAGCGGACCCCCGATCAGTGGACGCTTACCACCAGCCCCCACTCTTGGACGTGGTCAGCTTCGGAGTGGCGCGCCCCCCGAACTGGGGTCCGCACTTGCTGGGAGAGGATGCTTTCTAAGCTATCTGGGTGGTGGGTATCGTGTGATGACCCGGAGTAGGTGGTGAATGTGGTCTGTATGGGCCTTTCGGGTTAGAGTGGCCGCTGGTGTTGTGTGTGTTTCTTGGGAGATTTGAGTTCTGTTTCGGAGGCTTTGTGTGACCTCGCAATCGAGGAGATAGTGTTCAAGTGGGTTGGCTGCTGGCTCCTGACAGTAGGTGCATTCCATGACGTCATTTCCGATCATCTGCCAGGAGCACTTGTACCCTAGTCGTAGTCGATGAAGGCTGACTTGGGTTTGTATTGGAGTTTTCTTGTCAGCGAAAGGTGGTTCCCCTTTTGTGGCCGCCAGGTACCATTTGGCTGATTGGGAACCAGCGTTGAGTGCATGAAGGAAGCTCTTTTTGATGTGGAGCTTGGTAGTCTTTCTGAGGTGATTCTTGATCTGTTGCACACTTGCTGGAACTTGGATGTGTACGCTACTAGAACGTGTAGCTGCCTTGGCTGCTTCGTCTGCCACGTCGTTTCCTCCGATCCCTACATGACTGGGAATCCAGTGTAAGACGACTGGTCGGTTTTGGCTTTGGAATTCCTGTAGCTGTGCGAGGATCGAGGTGATGATGTGGACGTTGTCTCTTGGTTGACTGTGTTGCAGCGCCTGCATGGCCGATTTCGAGTCCGTGTGAATTATGATGGACTTGTTGTGTTGTGTTGCAGCGTGTTGTAGGGCCTTTGAGATTGCTACCAGTTCTGTTTGTAGGGTGGAGCAGTCATTGGAAAGTCTCCATTGGAAGGTCTGACCTTGGGTGTAGAAGGCCGCTCCGGATCTATGATGTTTTGGGTCCACCGAGCCGTCTGTGAAGTATGATGCTGCATCAGCCGGTGTCTCGGTGGCTATGGCTTCGAGAGTTATTTTTTTGAGGTCCTCCTTCTGGAGGTTGGCTTTACTATCGCCTAGGTCGGTAATTTTGAATGTGGCTGGTGGAGGGCTCCATTACATGGACAGAGAGAGGCTTAAATATACAGGGTGACCTTAAAAACATGAAGTCAGGTCATAATGATGTCATCCACTAAACCCCACACCAACACACACGTAGAGGAGCTTAAGAGAAGGGGGGAGACGTGACTAGTCAGGTCAGGTCAAAAATAAGGGACCCACAAAATAACTATCATACATCTAGATCAAAGGTTTTCAAAGCATTTTTAACCTTGGGCCACTGACAAATAAATTTATGTAACATATTATCAGTTTTGAACTGACCATCACTAAGGTTTATTGATTTTAATTCCTTAATCAAACTAGCTTCAACCAGAAGTCTTTCCCAAGCAATGGGGTGATTATTATTCCTAACATGAACGAACAAGGCACTGCTTTCAGATGCTGTTCTGATATTATACTTATGTTGTTTGATTCTGAGCTGCATTGTTTTTCCTGTCTGTCCTACATAATTACAATTACATTTGCTACATGGAATACAATAAACACTTCCATTTACATTCAAACTTGGGCTATTCCTTATTAACATATTGGTAATGGTTGAGTCATACTTGAAAACAACATTAATATTTAGAAGCTTGAGGGACCGAACTAACGGAACAAATTCATTACGATAGGGCAGAGTCAAAATATTCTTAAGTGTAGGAACTTGTCTGGTTTGAGAGGAATGAAAGGATTTTTTAGCCCTTTTAAAACAACTATCAACAAACACAGAAGGGTACCCGAGTTTCTGTGCAATGGAACGAATGCGTTTCAATTCATCGTCAATAAATTCAGAGTCACAAATACTCAGACATCTTAAGAACATAGCAGAAAAACTGACATTTTGGTAGACTCAAGGTGATTCGATAAAAAGTGAATGAAACTGTCTACCAGTGTGGGCTTTCTATATACCTTAAATTTATAGTTTTGGCCATTTCTCATGATAAGCATATCAAGGAATGGAAGGGATCCATTTGTTTCTCTTTCAATTTTGAATGTGATACTTGGGATATTGTCCCGTATCACGTAGGTGGTCAGAGGTTCACGGCGCCATAAGCTCGTTGAACAGGCTTTGTGTGAAATATAACAGAGTCTAGGACTGCTTTTAGTATCCTGTTGGTCCAGTGGTTAGCGTTCCCCGGTCACAGTCATGGACTCGTGGGCCGTGGGTTCGAATCCTGGCAGGTTGAGGTGTTGATTGCATGTAGAAGTCTGCGTGCTTATTGGGCTAATGAAATATATATGGATCCTCGTGTTTCGAAGCCGGATTTGGTAAAACGTTACTCTGACCACCTACGTGATACGGGTAGGCCCCATTAGAGGTTCACTGCGCCATAAGCTCGTTGAACAGGCTTTGTGTGAAATATAACAGAGTCTAGGACTCCTTTTAGTATCCTGGTGGTCCAGTGGTTAGCGTTCCCCGGTCACAGTCGTGGGCCGTGGGTTCGAATCCTGGCGGGTTGAGGTGTTGGTTTTATATATATATATATATATATATATATATATATATATATATATATATATATATATATATATATATATATATATATATATATATATATATATATATATATATATATATATATATATATATACAGTATACCCTGTATATATATGTAACCGGTCGGAATTTACTGGACTTTTAGTTTCTCACTTGACTTGGGGTTTATTAAAGATTATTAGATGGTAATTGCAGTGGAAGCGCCCCTTAGTGAGAAATCCCGAACCAGCACAAGAGCACTTAACTTTACTAAACAAAATGAATTGTCCGTGACCCGTGGAAGGATAGCGTCTGTGACTGGGATGAATGAAACACACTGTAAAATCTACACTTATATTCCCTCCAACACTACAAACACAATCAAATAGTGGTACACCAATATGTGCACTTCTTAACCTGAACTTAAAATACTACTCTGGGGAATAAAAGTTATACATGATGTTGAAATTATTAGAACCTCAGGCAATGCCTCATTAGAGGATCATAAGTTTAAAGTATTAAGAAATGTTGCTTGCACACATGAACCAGGCCTTAAGGGCTTTCAACAAAATATCAATCACTGAGAAAATGGTATTAAAAAAATAAGAAATTAATAACTCTACAATGAATAGGCCTTAATGGCACTCACCAAAATTATATTACCCCAACAGATGCACACTTCCTAACCTAATTTAACCACTACTCTGGGGAACAAAGGTTATACCTGAGATCGGAATTATAAAGAAAAATTGGATGCATTAAAGGAATTAAATCACAGTATCACTCTGGTTCCACTTAGTGACACAAACATTCAAAAAACAATACTATCAAAATCATTTAGGAACTATTACTACACACGTCAAGATAATATCAGTAACTGAAAAATGGTATTAACTACACACAAAAATATTGTCACTATTATTGAGATGTTACTGGGTCCACCAATACTCGTGAACCATGCTCCACCCAACTCAACATACACCCGTAATAAGGGAGATAAAATGTTCCTCTAGGTATCCCCTAGACGCCTGGTCTCAGTGTGTGACCATTTATTTACTCAGAGTGCCTCAGTGCGTCCATGGGCGGGAAGAGAGAACGCCCGCAGGTGACCATGGCCAGTAGGTAATACTTCTAGCTGACCGAGGGCACGTGGTGTTGTGCACCCACGTGGTAAGAACTGATCACCCAATGCTGATGCCGGTCCCGTGTCGTTTTAGTTGTCGGGAGCACTCGTCCACTCAAGAGATCCTTGGCTACCCCGCTAACCAGTGACAAGCCTACACTGATCGTTCCAACGGCGACAATCGCCAATCCTCAATCATCAACGGCAGTCTCAAACGGCAGTCAATCTCTCCCAGTCATCACTATCGCAGTCAATTTCTCGCAGTCAAGTGGGTTCTGACGGAAACCCTGAAATGAACTCACTGTTAGCTCTTGTTAACTTTATCACTGCCCTATCTAAACCTGTCTGAGATCGAATGAGACTTACTTGTTATACTGCAATAGCGCAACACAGGTGACTAGGCCACGAGACTATTTCTGTGACGGACGCGCAGGGACGTCTTGTTGGTCCGAATGCCTTCGCGTTACTGAGAGCTAGCCAACCTCGTGTCCTCTCAAGACGTTAGCTTAGGCCTACGTGACATATTTTCCGCCTAACTAATAACTCCTTGGGACACCCGTAACATTATTCAGACTAATAAATGATCTATAATAATTTCAAATTCAATAATAGTCCCTTAACTTCATGAATCGCATCATTATTAATTCGGCAAATTACATTTAATATCATATAGGCCTAGTTCCACAACCTCTCTCTATGTACGGGGAGCGCTCTCTTCCCTCAGACGACCTTGAAAACTCAGTATCGCCAATGGCGCGGCGTTTGAAATTACACTGAAGTTTCTGAATATTACATATATATATATATATATATATATATATATATATATATATATATATATATATATATATATATATATATATATATATATATATATATATATATATATATATATATATATATATACTGTATATATACTCGCGGAATCGCCGCCCTCCGGGCGGCTCTTTCACATGGCTACGGTAGAATTCCACCCTCAGGGAGGCTCCACATTGTCTCACTGTAGTGCATTAAGGTAGACCACATTTTTGGTTTTGCCATTAGCAGCAAGTATGTACAGATTTTTGCCAGTTCCCACTTTGGAGCATCCAACATACAACTGTCCATGAGAGAAGCAAGGAAACACCAGGTTTAGGCCAACCATCTTTAGGGACTGTTCCTGGCAAAGCTCACTTTAACCGGGAACTGAAGTCGCTTGAACTCAAATGGCAGGTCAGTGGTGATGAGAGGTATCCTAGGTATAAAAGCGTCCTCTCCTTTAGCTTTTCCTGTCAGTATTGTAGCTTCCAGTACATGTGGCATCATGTTCTTCACCACCAGTCTTGTGCCATTGCAGAGGATTGGTGGTTCAAGATTTCTTAAGAGCATTATAGGAGTTCTAATCTAGAGAGTGAGGTGATGAGGAGGCATTCCAGCGGGCTCCAAAGAATTAAGGAATTCTGCAGGGTACAGTACTGGACTGCTTGGTCCTGGTCGATTACTGTATCAATAGATTTTAATGAGGTCTCGCTGCCTGGAAGCTGTCTGAGTAGAGTCATGTTAATTTCAGCCACTGTTTCATTCTTTGGTGCCAGAATTGCGCGTTCACGCAGCCGCTTGTGATCCTTGTAGTGGTGGATAATGTTTGAGTAGACCATGTTAGTGAGCTCAGTTGAGGACTTTACAACATTTCCACATCCACAAAGAGAGGGTAGAAAGAGAATATATACATTGGGAGAATTACTAAAGAAAGAAACAGAGAAAATTATATAAAAGACTGAGAGAAAAATACCCTTATAACTATTAAACCTTACCATATTAAATTGTTTATAGTATATCATCTGAGATCTTATATTTGAGTGGTAGTTATAACCTTTTTCTTAATAACTCTAATGTTTTGATCCTTTCTTATGATGCTGAGCTCAATTAATAATGAATGAATAATGTGTTTCTTTCACACACACATATGTAGTATATTGGGAGCCCTCCCGTCCCCTCCCCTCTCCTCCACAAAAAAAAATCAATATTTATAATGTAATAATTCAGCCAGATCAAGACATGGGCATGTGGTAGACCTCGTTTCTGCCACTCAATGTAGCACCGTGTAGGGCCAAAGATCAATAGTTCATTAACGGTGTATGTAAGTTTCACCGTGTTTTTCACTACAACGGTACAGCAGAGTATATTATTTAGCATTAAACTGTTATTATTTTATTGTCTAATCATCACTACATATAACATCATCCATCATCACTACATATAACACCTTCCATCATCACTACATATAACACCATCCATCATCACTACATATAACACACACCCATCATCACTACATATAACAACATCCATCATCACTACATATAACATCATCCATCATCACTACATATAACACCATCCATCATCACTACATATAACACCATCCATCATCACTAGATATAACAACATCCATCATCACTACATATAACATCATCCATTATCAATACATATAACACCATCCATCATCACTACATATAACACCACCCATCATCACTACATATAACACCACCCATCATCACTTCATATAACAGCATCCATCATCACTACATATAACATCATCATCCATCATCATTACATATAACACCATCCATCAGCATCACTACATATAACACCATCTATCTACAGATCGGTAAAGTAGTTTGCGAGATTCTCGTGTGGACACACACACACAGACATACTTCTTTGTTATATATATAAATATATATATATATATATATATATATATATATATATATATATATATATATATATATATATATATATATATATATATATATATATATATATATATATATATATGCTGATAACCACAAGGAAAGAAGAAAACACGAAGTTCCCAAGCGCTTTCGTGTAATTCACATCTTCAGGGGTGAGTACAGACTAGAGAGAGAAATACAAATCAAGGTGTATATATACAGAGAAGGGTGAGACCAGGTCCACAATGGTCAGGTATTAGGTAATGACCCTACTAATCTTTAAATAGCACACAACGGTTGGTGGTCAGGTCAGATGGTCAGGTGACCCGGCCTTCTCACCTGGTCACAAATCTTCTTAATTACAAAATTGTCCAGCTTGTACATGCCGTTACTCAAATTCATGTTGAATGCTTCGGTATGTTTAATAAGACTAGATTCTATGATGTTCCTACTATCAATTGAATTACATGGTAATATTGAGGAGGCATTATCCCAGTCAATGCAATGCTTGTTATCCCTCAAATGAACAAACAGAGCATTGGATTCCTGGCCTGTCCTAACACTGTATTTGTGTTGTTTAATTCTAGTTGCAAGATCTTTACCTGTCTGGCCTAAGTAAAACATATTACATTCCTTGCAAGGAACTTTATAAATGCAACCAAGATATATATATATCTTGATAAAATCAGACGGGAAAAGGGAAACAACGGAGCACCTTAGCTTTCGTCTTTATTCAAGACATTTCAGAGGTTGTTTCCCTTTTCCCGTGTGATTTTATCAAGATTTACCTTATCCACGTTTTCATTGTGGATCTACATGAA